AAAAAAAAAATCGATTTTGTGAGCTTACATGAGTATATGGATATCAACACATCATCCTTAGAGAGTCAAATTTCCGTTTTGGCTTCTCTCATAAAGGAGTTTATCTTAAGCTCAGAAACTCAAGATGCCAAGACATGCAATATTTGCATGTCTCACAGGCATATTACGGATTTTTTCCCGAAGCTCCAGGAAGAATACTTTCAACAAGCTGATGATGTTGGTTACCAAAGGAAATATGATCTGTTCTCCGACACATATAATTTACCGAGGGGAGATCACATGTACGCGAATTCTTATTCTAGCATGTCCACTGAAGACATGGTCCGAGCCCTCACTATCAACGTGACGAGTATGCAAAGAGCTATGTCACAATGCCCGCAAGAAACAGTGTCGAACGAATCGAAGTTGGAGAATCAAATAAAGCAAATGTCAAGCGTTGTGAACTACATCCGCGAGGAGGAGGAAGAAGAGGAGCCTACAGAAAAAGCTCAACCGGAGGAGGAAGAACCTCAAAACTCAACTCCATCACCGGCCATTCTTGAGATCATGCCACCATTTCCTGAGGCTCTAAGGGAAACACAAAGGGTAGAGAAGGACAGAGACGAAATCCTCAGCGAATGTGAGGGTAATTCAAATGTACTTGTCGCGGTTGCGAATAAACCGAGAGAGTATCATTTGGATTTCTTTTCATTCACAAATATGCGGGAAATGACAGTGGAGTTAAGTAAACATTTGATACCCCCTCTCATGCCACCAAGATCAAAACCCTTTCCATTGACCATGCTAATCGGTACAAATTTTCCCTCGCTCTCACAACATAAAGCAATGAGAATCTGGACATTTGATCCTGGAAATATTGTCAAAATGGGTGGTCGGCGAATTGAGCTCTTCTATAAGAGTCATCGGGGTAGAAATGTGCAGAGGATGGGTCATCATGACCTGAACATGAAAGATTGAAGTAGAGAAAATAACGTCGTGCCGCGACGTTAACTAAAGCGCTTCTTGGGAGGCAACTCATGCAAGGTACGTTTATTTCTTCATTTTTTTCTTCTCTGCACTTTAAAAAAAAAGTTTTTGAAGTAAAATTGGGAACAAACCCGGCCGGGTATATACCACACTTGGTCGGGTAACAAAACAATGAAGGAATACCCGGGCAACACCCCAGGCGGGTGAAATTTTTATAAAACCAAAAAAAGCTAAAACCCGGTCGGGTATGCCTAAAACCTGGCCGTGTTTTCACTTATTTATGTCCCTGGGAGTCTCTGGAAGTAATACCCATTCGAGTTTTTACATTAAAACCGGCCGGATGACGAAAAAATGAAAAAAAAAATATAAAATGGCCTAATACCCGACCGGGTATCACGCAAACCCGACTGGGTTTTTGGCCAAAACAGCCACTGCCAAGCGAAAAACAGCATACCCATTTGGGTATTACTAAAACCCGGCCGGGTAATCGGGATTTCAGTCCGATTTGGTCCCAAATCAGCCCACAAAACACCCATTCTCTTCCCTAATCTCCCAAACTCAAACCCTCAACCTCCATTGACTATCATCCAAACTTCAAACCACTCCAATCTCAACCAAAACATCCAAATTAACCCCACATTCTTCTTATCCACATCATCCTCTCCAACCCCAAAACCTCCAAAACAAAATGTCATTTCCTTTTCTCCTCACCCTACTTTCCAAACCCACACACACAAAACCCACCAAATCCCCCAAATACCCTACAAACCGAATTCCTTAACCCCCCAAGCTCAACTTTGGAATTCACTAAAAAAACGAAAAAAGCACCAAAAAGAACACATCTTCGACCACCAAGGGTACTTCTCCAACATGCCCACCTAGTACAACATCTGACGTGGTATTATCCCTCATATTAGGGCGATTGGGAGTTTCTAGCTCCGGTGAACATAGTCTTGGTGGTGATGGCGGTTATGGAGGATACGACGACGATCATGGTGCCGAACACTAGGGACAGTGTTTCGAAAAAAGTGTAGGGGAGACACTCATTTGGTATGTACTCATTTTTTTTAACCTTGTATCTTGCATTATTTTTCTTCAAAAAAAAAACACACAAAAAAACAATAAAAGAAAAAAATGCTAGTTAGGTTGAAAACCCAAAAAAATGGGCAATCTAAGCAAAAGTGGCTAAAATGAGTGAGTTGTGAGAAACGAAAAATAAAAAGAGAGGCTAGGATGAAAACCTGAAAAGGCTCCTAGGCAAAATGAGAGAATGAGAGAAAAATATCTATTTATGCAAGAAGATAATCAAAAAAAAGAAGAAGAAAATGTTAGATGGTTGTTCTGCTACTCTTCTGGTTTTGAAAATTTCATGGACATGTTATAATTTACTCGAGACGAGTAAAGAGGTTCAAGTGTGGGGGTGTTTGATAGGCACTAATTGTTAGTGCCTAAGTATACATTTTTATTATTGTTTATAATGTTTATTTACTAGTTTTGTGCAAGTTTATAGTTGTTAGTTTGCATTTGATTGTAATCGTATTTCTAGCATTTTATTTTTTGTTGTAAGTTGTAGTTAGTTCGGCTATAAGTTTAGGATAGGTTTGGAAGCAAAAAGGATGAAGAAACATGACTTTTGTGCAAAACCCAGTCGGGTATGGCCTTTACCCGGCCGGGTATGAAGTGAAAGAGGAAATTACTGCGAAACTAGTAAATACCCGGTCGGGTATCCCCTATACCCGGTCGGGTATGAAGTGATTTCGGACCAAAAAACGTGCAGAAAACACAAAGACGTGGGAAAATATTTGATTTGGCAAATACCCGGTCGGGTATGTCAAAATACCCGGTCGGGTATCCGGCTATAGGTCTTGAAAACACCTATAAATAACCCCATTTTCCTTCACATTTCAACATTCCTTCTTCCATACTCTTAAGCTCAGTTTAGAATAGCATTCCTTTATATTTTTCTAGCTATGTTTAGTCTCCAAATGAGGAGCTAAACTTCCAATTTTTCGTGTTGCCCTTGAAGCTTGTTGATTATTAAAGTTGTGAGTTATTTTCTTTACTTCTTCCCTTGAATATTAATTAAAAGTTCTTTCCTTAATAATATCTCTATATTAATGTTGGGGAGTGTTGCTAAGATGACAATTAGTTAACATCTTGACATTAGTTAGAATAGTATTTTCTTCCTCTATATTAATGTTGGGGAGTGTTGCTAAGATGACAATTAGTTAACATCTTGATATTGATTATAGTAGGATTCATCTCCTTTAATAATATTCTTCCTTGAATATTAATTAATTCCTATTCATATTTCATATTAATATTTTGAACATTACTTAAAGGATCAACTAGTTTTGTTTCATATATTAATTATTACTAGAAACGATCGACGAACCGATGGTTAATCGTTGATGGTTTCACAAGTAAGTAACTTCGGTTTATTAATGCACGGTCGTGGTTGATAAACTTAAGAGGGATTAATTTTGTTGGTTAAACCGAAACCATTGTGTTGAGGTTATCAATCTCAGTTGATTTATCAAGGAGTTAAGAGATTAAATGCTACTATCAAGTCGGTATATGGCGGTGTTCTATACTTGACTAATAGTAAGGGTTATTAATGAATGGTTGTTGTTAATAACTACCCTCGATGAATTGGATATACTCATCGATTGAGTATTCGAGAGGGAATAAGTTATAGATATAACAATGATCGACTAAAATATATCAACAAGTGGAAAGTAGCAATGCCAAGTCCTTTTTATCTTTGAATTAAACACATATAGGTTGTTTATCTTAGTTTTTAAATTAAATCATTTAATCCCAACCCCCCCCCCCCCCCCCCCCCCCCCCGTTTTTTACTAAGTTCGTAAAAAGAAAAGTATTTTTTTCCCTATGGATACGAACTCTACTTCACTATACTACGTATAAGTGGTAGTATTGAATTTATTTTGACGCACCGTGAGAAAGTGCCCGTCACGGCTCCTCTAAAACATACGGAGTATGTACTTCAATTAATTAAAACAGGGAAAAAAAGGAATAAAAGCTAAAAATAGTCGAGTTAAAAATGTCAAGCTCTTATTTAATTACATACGGAAACTTAAGCTCCTGTTTAGCACCATTTCTCTTTCATGTAATTAATTAATTAATGAATTCCCATTATTCAAGGACAAAGGCACGAGCAATAACCATGCATTTTGACAGTACGACTAAAATTCCACAATAGTAATTAATTAATATAACCATTCTTACTTAATTAATTCAAAACATAATTTAATAAATGGTGCTTGCTATGGTACCCAACAAAAATAGGAGGGTACCATACCTAGGATGCATTTCATTCACTACGTGAGGGTGGAGAAGTGTATAACGGGTGGTATAAGGGAATCTGGGTCATAAAGCTTTCTGTTATTAATTGGTCATGCGTAGATGGTCGTTGACTGAAGCCAAACAAATTGTACTCCCTCCGTCCCGAAATAATCGTCCTGTTTTGACCTTCACACAGATTAAGAAAACAAAGTTGACTTCACACTGTAGCGACACTGTTTGGCACTGTAGCGACACTGTTTGACATTGTTTTGCATTGTTTGACTCTGTTTTGTATAGATTTGTTTACCAAATAAGGAAAGGAGACAATTATTTCGGGACGAACCGAAAAGGAAAGCAGGACAATTATTTCGGGGCAGAGGGAGTATAACAATATAATAACCAAATCATCCCTTATTGAGTCAACTTGAGCCACATCATACACCTTACTAAATAAATGAGGGACAAATAACGGGTCTACAGTACAATCAACTAGTCCAGCTACCCCAATATCGTACATGACCCAATATAAATACATAATTGCTCGTATGGGGGATTAATAACTACACATGTCTATTTATATATAAGAAAATGAATAGCTCATACAATGACAATTCTACCCCTGAATAAACCTACGTGCCCCTCTTCCCAGCTTTCTCTCCTTTGATATCATACTGCCACGTGGCTTTCTGATTTTTAAGCTTTGCTCACATCCAAAAAAATAAACGCTACCGCTCTTTCCATGTTTATCTTTTGCACACAGCAAATTTAACACTCTTTCCGAACCCACCTCTTCACAGATACTAGGAGATCTCCAATTAATACCTTGACTATATATGCAGGGCTCATAGGATGGGATCGAAGAGGAAAGCCACCTTAATCAGTCAAGTAAGTAATTTAAATCGGGGTTATGAACACGCCCTGACCTTCGCCTTAGTTGTTCGATTGATTGTTCTAAGGTAAAGCCTTTTACTTCATTGTTCAAGCTCTTCAACATGGGTTTAGTTCGTACAATTCTACTGCTTAAATCAAATGTGATTTCAATTGTCATATTCGAACTCCAGATTTGTTAAAACACTATTATTGCATAATTTGGCTTTAAGTTTTATGTTTATTTCTGGCTAGGTGTAGTTTTCAACCACATTAACTCACCTTTGCAAACACAAATCCTTGGGTGCCCAAGTTGTAGAGGTACTCTCTAATTCTTCACTTCTCTATTTCTCGATTCTCTGTGAATACAACTTCAGTCCAGCATTCATTATTTTTGTGCACACATGTTGTTTGATTAAATGTTTACATATGTGATCTAAAGGAACATCAGTAAGTCACTAATTTTTCAAAGAAGCAAATGTGTTTGGTTACTGCCTGTTTGGTTTGATCTGATTATTTCCATCATTTCTTTACTACAAAGTTTTTTATAGGAAAAACTGAAAGGAAAAGCATTTGGTGACAAGTTTTTAGTCTAATAAATAAGTAAAGGGCTCTGCTTTCATTTGCCAATAGAAGTCTATAACGGTAGATATTATCAACGTCTCGTTTAGTCGATAGAAGTCTAGAGCGGTAGATATTATCAATTCAGTATTTATAGAGCTTCTCAATGACAAACTAGATTTGTTTTGGATAAAAATAAAGAAAGTGTATTGAAGAAAGTGTTTTACATGAGTTTTAGGAGCACCAAAGCATATAAGGTGTCCAATGAAATGTTTATATGGTATTAGTCTTTATACTTCAGTTTATAAGTTTTATTTTTTTTAGCTTTCTATGTATGAATTTCTGAAATACTACTTTTCTGGAGTCCGTAGTGATATTAGTATACATTGAGTCTATAGTATTATGAAGTACTAATGACTGCTATGTCATTTCTTAGGTCTATGTGTATTCTATTGAATTAGAAATTGAGGATATCTTAAAAACACGCCAAAAGTTCCGCTTGAGCATGTCAAAGCATAAATTCTCACTTGTGGAGTATTCTTTTATTACAATTCCCGGCCGCATAATTTTTTTTTGAATATATAATCTTCTATGTTAATGTGAAAATAATTTTAATAGACTCAAATCTTAATTTTACTAGATCAACCACCGGATCATAAATGTTAGAATTCTAATAGAGGTTGTGCTCCTATTGTTTCATACAATATTTACTCTTATTTTGGATTTCCTATTGCAATTGGCTGGCCTGATTTCATGAACTTGATGTTTCATAAAAAACTGAATGATCTTTAAAAGTCTTCATTCATGTTGAAAATACAAATTTAGAGTACTATTTTTTTAGATTCCATATTGTAAGACTGATTCAAACGGCTCGATGTGTAGCCTTGATTCATTAAGATTTTATAATACAATAGGTTTACAAAATAAGGAAAGAGTATAAACAAATACAAGGAAAGTATATTCTGTTTTAATACAAAAGATAATTTCTATATTTAAGAGATATTATCGTTTACACCCCCCCCCCCTCAAGCGAATTGGCGGTGGGCCAACACGTAGTTTGGAACGAAATGTCTCGAACAGCGGGCGCGGAAGACTTTTGGTGAAAATGTCCGCCAGTTGAAGCTTGGTAGGAAAAAAACGAGTATAGAGCTTTCCGGAGGAAACAAGTTCACGAACAAAATGATAGTCAATGTCAATGTGTTTAGCTCGTTTATGAGACACCGGATTCTGACTGAGAAAGATCGCACTTTGATTGTCACATAAGAGAGTAGGTCGATCAGGAGGCAGGATATGAAGTTCTCTGAGAAGATGAGTAACCCAGACAATCTCAGCAGCAGCGTTTGCCATAGCACGATATTCAGATTCACAACTAGAACGTGAGACAGTCAGTTGTTTCTTAGCACTCCATGAGACAAGATTTCCACCAAGAAAAATCGAATAGCCATAGGTGGAGCGTCGAGTCTCAATACAACGAGCCCAGTCAGCATCTGAGTAACCAAGTATGTCAGGAGAGGGAGAATGTGTAAAGGATAGCCCATAAGATATAGTACCTTTGACATAACGAAGGATACGTTTGCCAGCATCAAAATGATCAACGGTAGGAGCATGCAAGAATTGACTAACTTGATTAACAGCATATGAGAGATCGGGCCGAGTTATGGTAAGATATTGTAGTGCACCAACAAGACACCGGTAGGTAGTCTGATCCGAGAAAGGAGTGCCTGAACTTGATAAGTAATCAGTGGTGGATAAAGGTGTTGCAATTGGTTTGGAATCAAGGAAGCCAGCACGAACTAATATATCATGAGCATATTTGGCCTGAATTAAGAAGAGACCATTGGAAGTATAAGTAACTTCCAAAACGAGAAAGTAGTTTAGAGCTCCCAAATCTTTGATGGCAAATTCTTTGTTGAGACGAGAGATAAATTGCTTGATTGTGTCAGGACCATTTCCTGTAAGAATGATATCATCAACATAAACGAGGAGGTACAGGGTGCACGAGCCATGCTGATAAATAAAGAGAGATGTGTCAGCTCTACTACAAATAAATCCCAACCGAACAAGAAAGGTACTAAGCCGCTGAAACCAAGCTCTTGGAGCTTGCTTTAGACCATACAAAGCCCGTTTCAGTTGACAAACATATCCTGGAAAACGAGGATCTATAAAACCAGGGGGCTGCTCCATGAAAACAGTTTCAGAAAGATGTCCATTCAAAAAAGCATTTTTAACATCAAGTTGATGAAGATGCCACTTATGAAGAACAGCCAAAGAGAGCACGATACGAACTGTTGATGCCTTGACCACCGAACTGAAGTTCAAGTTGTAATCCAAACCTGGAACCTGGGTGAACCCCTGAGCAACTAAGCGAGCCTTTAAACGATCAATGGACCCACCGGAATGGTATTTTGTACGAAAAACCCATTTGGAGCCAACAATATTTGAAGATTTAGGCCGGGGAACAAGAGACCAAGTATCATTGGTTTGCAAGGCTCGCATCTCTTCTTTCATGGCAGCAAACCAGTGAGGATCTTTGGCAGCAGTTTTAAAGCCACGTGGTTCTTTTGCAGCAAAGAGTGCAACATGTAAGGGATTTTGTTGTAATGTGGTTAAATCAGCAATATGGCGCGGTTTAAAAATACCTGAGCGAGCCCGAGTTTGCATAGGGTGTGTGGAGACGACAGGAGCAGCAGGGAGATCATCATGGACCGGAGGCGAATCAGCAAGAACATGTGGTGGGCTGGGAGAAGAGCTAGCAGGCGGAGTGGGCTGCGGATCAGGCTGCTCAACGGGCTGATCAGGAGGTGGCTGAACCAGCTGTGGCTGCACAGGCAATGGGCAGGCATGACCCAAAACTGAGGTCGAGCAAAGTGGGCAGTGAGGCTGGGATTCAGAAATCGGAGAGGCCGAGTGATTTGTCGAAGAGAGTGGAGGAGCCACCAGAACTCGTGTGGAAGGTTCATCGAAACTCGAGAAGACCAAAGAAGCTTGATCAACAGGAGTTGTGCCAGAAGCAAATGAAAAAATAATCTCATCAAATTTAGCATGCCTTGAAGTGTAGATACATGAGGTTTGAAGATCCAAACACCGGTAACCCTTATATTGGGTATTGTAGCCAATGAAGACACATGAAAGACTACGAGGAGCTAACTTGTGTGGCGAGTAATCACGGAGATATGGAAACACCCGACAGCCAAAAACCCGTAAGTTATTATAATTTGGAATAGATCCAAAAAGAAGCTCATATGGACTTTTGTTGTGAAGTACCTTTGAAGGAATCCGGTTGATAATATAAGTGGCTTAAGAGAAAGCATCAACCCATAGAGATGCAGGAGCATGAGCATTAAAAAGCATTGCAAGACCTGTTTCGATAATATGCCTGTGTTTACGTTCAGCACACCCATTCTGCTGAGGAGTATAGGTGCATGATACTTGATGATGAGTACCATTAGCTAAAAATAAGTTTCGAACCTTGTGCTGGAGAAACTCAGTGCCTCCATCACTTTGAAAGGTTTTTAGTTTGCATGTAAATTGTGTTTGAACAAAGGTGACAAAAGCTGAAATTACAGTGAACACATCAGCTTTCGATTTGAGTGGATAAAACCATGTAAATCTCGAAAAATCATCAACAAAGATGATATAATAGCGATAGCCATCCGTAGAGTCAACCGGGGCAGGACCCCATAAATCACAATGAACTGGGTCTAAAACATGCAAAGAACGCTTAGGATTTATTTCAAAAGGTAAGTGTTTACTCTTAGAGATTTGACATGGGGAACATAAAGTAGGACTAGGTAATAACGAAGTAACAAACAAATGATCATGTTTTGCTAAAAAGGAAATAACATCAAAAGAGACGTGTCCTAAGCGTCTATGCCAAACATCAAACGAGGCTTTAGACCGAGAGAGACTTGCGAGGAATGCCTTTGGACCATGCTCTAAAACGTAAAGACCTTGATCAACCCAACCCTGAGCTAGAATGGCCTTGGTAAGACGATGCTGGATAGCAAAAAAAGAATCAGAGAATAAGACATCAACAGGTTGATCAGCAGTTAATTTACTAATGGAGAGCAAGTTTTTTGTGAGATGAGGAACAACAAGGACATCAGAAAGCTTTATATTATTTGAAAGACAGGATTGACCAACGTGTGATATGGGGAGAGTATTACCATTACCAAAAGCAACCTGATCTTTCTTTCCCAGCATACGGCTGTGAGCTTTGCAAGTTTGATGGAGTCGGGGTCATGTGTGCAGTGGCACCAGTATCAACATACCAGTCAGGAGAGCTATTGTTGACATGACATTGGGAATGAAAGGCAGTGGCTAAGTTTGCATCAATGGGTGAAGAACGATTTGCAAAAGAGGCCAAATCCGGACATGTAGAGGCATAGTGTCCATCCTTGCGACACAATTGGCAATGGGGAGGTCTCCTTCCTCGACCACGACCACCAGAAAAACCACCGCGTGTGTTGTTATTATTGCGACCACGAGTATTGTTGGATGACCAACGACCCGGAGGAGGACCACGGTGGTGATTGGCAGTGAAGGCTGCTTGTGGTACATTCGTGGGATGCATATTTTTAAGGAACAACTCGTGGCTTTCGGCTTGAGCAAGTAAGCCCCGAAAGGAGGGACATGGAGTATGTGTACGCTGAGCAATGGAGAAAGTCTCGAAAGTGGATCCAAGACCACATAAAAACCAGTGAGACATCGTTTTCATCAACAGCATGTCCAATAGCAGCCAGTTCGTCACAGATATGTTTAAACTGGCGACCATAATCAGAGACAGACAGATTACCTTTTTGAAGGTGACGTAAGGAGTCACGAAGAGACTGCATTCTCTCGACAGAATCGTGGCTATAGGCACTCTGGAGGGCTTGCCAAACTTCATGCGAGGTCTTGAGACCTAGAACCTCAGACATTGCTTCTTCAGAAAGGGATGAATGAAGAAGGATTAATGCCCGCTGATCATTGTCTTGCCAAGAGGAGAATTCGGGGTTAGGGATTGTCTTTGCGTCAACCTGAACCGTGGCTGGGGGTGGCACAGTGGTGCCATCAATGTGCCCTGCGAGCTTTTGAAAGGATAAAAGAGGGACAATCTGATTTTTCCACAGCAGGAAGTTGGATGAGGATAGCTTAATAGTGAGCATGTGCAGAATTGTCGAGAGAGATAGGGAGGAGTCGTTGCTGGCCATGGCGATCAGAGAGTTTTCGAGAGAGAGGGTAGGGGTTTCAGAGGATCAGAAAGTTAGGCTGATACCATGTAAGACTGATTCAAACGGCTCGATGTGTAGCCTTGATTCATTAAGATTTTATAATACAATAGGTTTACAAAATAAGGAAAGAGTATAAACAAATACAAGGAAAGTATATTCTGTTTTAATACAAAAGATAATTTCTATATTTAAGAGATATTATCGTTTACACATATCATTGTGTTATCTCAAAGCACTAAAATTTTGCAATTCTTAAAGGATTCAGACAACCATTGCAAAATGAATGATCTTTGTTAGTATTCGGTGAAATACTAAACTGTTGGATGAATTTTAGTAGAAAACTTTTGGATTATCCGTTCTAGCTATCTGCTCTTTCAAAATATCAGTTTTCATGGCTCACAACATGGAAGTGTTTAAAGGTATTTTCCCATACATTTTCCTCACGGTTATGATGTTTATGAATTATGATGGCTTTTTGGGTTTGGGGTTTGATTTTTTGTTCATATTTTCTTCCAAACATCAGATTAATAATAGCTTTAATTGCTTCTGGTCTTACACTTATACTACTCATGACTGCAATCTGGATTCTTAGGACAAAACTTTATTACCCCCCAAGTTTTGGATTATTGCTGTTATTGTAGTTATAAGAATTAACAGAAATGTAGGCACATGATAACAATAAGATAAATAGAGATTTATATGAGAACTCACATGAAAAGGGTTATTATCACAGTTTGATGAAATTCATATTAATCTTTTTTTGCGGGACAAATTCATCTTAGTTTTGTGCTTTAGGTTTTTTATCTCTTTTTTCTTTGTAAAATTCGTATCTTCATCACTCCATTTTCCTCGGTACTTTACTTTACACCGACACGGGAGAGTTAAAAGTATTATGGATTTGGCAAGTAAAACGTAGATATGGCAATTCATATTATGAACACTTCCTACCTACTGATACATAAAAAAATCACCACTTTCTCGCTCAAACAAATTAAACATCCACACAATACACTTTAATCAGGGTCCTTCATTTCGGCTCATGGTGATTGTTGTTGCCCTTAAAGAATCCTATGTGTCCTTACTCATTAGTTTAAGGCATCCTATGTGTCCATCTCCCCACAATTTGCACATCTTGGAAAATAACAATTTGTTATTTTCTTTTCATTCTTGAAGAAAATGTCACGATGTTTAAATAATGTCAGAATTATCAAATGTTATATCACTTTAATGGTAAATATATCAAACTTCACATATGAGTACTTTTACAACATTATATTTCTTTATTATCTAATTATTAGTGTATGACATTTCAAATAGATAGATTTGAACTTCAGCGTGGTAAGTAACAACAGATAATTGAGCGGCAAAATTTTTCCTCTCATACGTAGTGTTTTTTAGTATAAGATAAACGGACTAATAAAAAAGCGGCCAAGCGGGATAATTTTCTCTCACATACGTAGTGTTTTTAGATATAAAATAAAGAAGAAGATAAATGAACTAATAATTGAGCGGAATAATTTTCTCTCTAATATATAACGCTTTTAAGTATACTAGATAAACAAACTAATAATTGAGCAGAGATATTCTCTCATATATGTAGTGCCTTTGTGTATAAGAAAAGATAAATAGACTAATAATTGAACGAGCAAATATTGTCTCTCATATATAATGCTTTTAGGTATAATATATAAACTAATTAATAATTGAACGAGAGAATTTTCTCTCTCATATGCAGTACTCTTATGTATAAGGTAAGCAAACTAATAATTGAGCAGAAGAATTCTCTCTCTCATACGTAGTACTCTTAGATATAAGATAAGCGGACATATAACTGAGCGGGAGAATTTTCATTCTCACTTATAGTGCTTTTTGGTATAAGATAAGTAGACTAATAACTGAGTGAAAAAATTCTCTCTCTCATATGAAGTGTTGTTACGTATAATATAAGCGGATTAATAATTGAATGGGAAAATTTTCTCTCTTATATGTATTACTTTTAAGCAACGGTAAGCGGTCTAATAATTGAGCTAGAGAATTCTCTCTCATATGTAGTATTTTTATGTATAAGATAAGCTAACTAATAAATGAACGAGAAAATTTTCTCTCTCATCTATAGTGCTTTTTTGTATAAGATAGGATAAGCAGACTAATAATATACCTGAATATTTTATCTCTCATTTGTAGTGCTTTTATGTGTAACAAGATAAATGGATTAATGGTTGAGTGGAAAAATATTCTCTCTCATATGTAGTTTTTTAGGTATAAGATAAGATAAGCAGACTAATAATTGAGGTGGAAAATTTCACTCTCATACGTAGTGCTTTTAAATATATAAGATAAGATTAGCAAACTAATAATTGAGAGAGAATTTTTTATTTTATACATAGTGTTTTTAGGTTTAAGAAAATAAGTGTGCTAATAATTGAGAATAAGAATTTTGCCTCTCAATCTCATGCGTAGTGCTTTTAAGTACATTACTGAATATATCATTTTTACCACGGTCGTAATCAGTCATAAAAGACTAATAAAGAAACTGTGGTGAATATTATTTATGACAATTTTGCGACAATTTTGCGTGTGTGGGCACAACAACTGTGGTAAAAACATAAGCCACAATAAAAAATTGTCATATACGATAGGATAAGCGAGATAATTTTTCTATCATATGTAGTGTTTTTAAGTATAAGATAAGCAAATAATAACTGATTGGGAGAATTTTCTCTCTCATATTTCTTATCTCAAGACCTTTTAAACTTATGAGAAGATATTTCTATAATTGTCACATATGTGATGATAATCAATAAATTTCTAGCTCTATCACTGGAAAAAGAAGAAACTTAATTTCCTCCCTAGACATATTTTAGTCATGTAATGCTTTATATATATATATATATATATATATATATATATATATATATATATATATATGGTGTTATCGAGGCTGAATATATGGATTGATAATTTTAATACATTATAATAAGAGAAAAGCATTAGACGTTATCACTAAAAGTTCTCTTTAAAGTAGTTTTTCGAAACTCTAACAATTAAGTTCAATATTTTATTATTTGCTGCCTGCAATACCAATTATTACGTAACAAATTCTAATGGATAGTGTTGATTTTTTTTACTTTAATTTTCTTTTAATTTGAATATTTTTCGTATAGATTTATACTTTTTGATATTAACTTATTGTACTCCATTTTTGAAATGCTATAAAATTGTATAAAAAACATTTTTATACTACGTATTTAATTAGATCATGAACAAAAATATATAAGGATAACTGTTCTTTCCCGTGCGTATGCACGGGTGCTGTGTTGTCATAAAAATGAATCCATTTATTTTTCATTTATTACCCAACTTCCTCCCACCCGTTCATAATTTCATAGCCGATCTAATCTTCATATACTCGTATATATATACTATGTATATTCTTGTTCCTCTATTTCTTCCATAGGATCAATTTGTGCAGCCTTTTATTTTTGTGTGTTCTTCCAACAAAATGCCGTCGAAGTGCAGACCGCTCATCCCTTGCCCCCTGTAAGCTATTTCCTTTTTTTATTGAGAAGTCATTATCTTCGATTATGTTATTTTTATGTTACAAATAATTAATGTTTGTAGTTGCATGTGTACAGCGTAAATTATTTTTGACAAATTTTGTACATTTTGTAAATTTAGAGCTCATTTAGTAACTTTAAAATTTGCTAAATAGATAGGCTGAACAGTCTGGATTTGTTGAATTGATGAAGTTTAGATCGATATAGCTTAATATGCTGAATAATGGCAAAAATAGTTAAAATATACTCCCTCCGTCTCTTATAAATTTGTCAACTTTCCTTTTTTGTTGTCCCAAAAACTTTTTCACTTTCCATTTTAATCAATCAATTTGTGACTCTGTTATTTCTCTTTCCTCTGCACAAATATCTATCACACAGTTTTTACTTTATTATTCTACGTGTCGGTCAAGCTTGACAAACCTTTAAGGTACGGAGGGAGTAATTTATTAATATAATTAAGAAAAGATTATATGAAAATAGCTAAAATTGCTCTATGTAATAATTATTCAATCCAGAAAGTTACTTCAATCTTATTTATTTTAATTATCACACAATTCAGCGCGAAAAATAAAAAATCACGTGTTTGATAAAAAAGTTGGCTTATTTGGCTGGTAAGGTGAAAATTGGGTTACCAAATAGGGTCTAATCGGATATTTTATTTTATAGGAATATTTTAATTAATTAAGTATTATTTGTTATTATGGATATACATTTTTTAATTACATTGAACAGGTGATATGTAACATGGCAGAGGGCCGTGAGTGGATGTATAAACGTCAAAGTCGGGCTTCCGGTAATATAAATCATGAGTTTGTAGAAGGTTTAAAAGGTTTCTTAGATTATGCTTTTACCATATGTGAGGGCATGGGGGAAAATATTTGGCTCGCCCCTTTCATCTTCCTCACTCGATCGATTTGCAAAGTAGATAAGGTCTCGTGGACGAAAACCTTGGAGTCGGCAACTCAGGTTCTCTTTCATTTTCTTTCAATTACAGCACTTTGTATTACAAATTTCTGGGGTTTTCATTTATGAGATTTATATAAGTTTGACTATGCTGCAGTGATAGTTAGATTGGGAGAGGTCTAGGTATTTTAAGTGAGTAAACATATGTTTTTTAACACACCAAGCATATATCTGTTTTTCCAGGTTTGATTATTGCTCTATTTCATTTTGGACTAGGGTACTATATGTGCAAACGAATATTTCAGTTCACTCAAGGGTTCAATTAGAGTTTTTGTACTAACGGTTTAACAGAGTTAGTTACCTCACAGTGTTCATTCTCTCTTTGGCAAGGTAATTTCACAGAGTCCATTTCATGTCCCAAATTTTCGAGATAGGTTATGTGAATTTGTTTTTAACAGTATTTAGATGTGAATACATTTTTTATGCTTTCATAAAGTGCTAATTAAAGTGGTAAAAAATTAATTTATTTAGGCATATGCCTGAATATCCCTACCCAAAAACAGAACAATAAACCCTTGAATAGGAATGAAAAAGAACATCTTTGAGAGTATATGTGTATAGGGAGGGAATGTTATCCATGTATTCTATATTTGTATCTTAAATTTATATAATTTGTATGTGTTTAGAGAAAGACATGTCTTCTAGGGCTTCCATATCCCGTGGTGGTGGGCGTGCAATCCGTGGCCGCCCAAACAATGGTGTTATTGTTGGTATTGGTACCACTCGGAACTTGGCTTTAGGGGGGCATACAGCTGGATCAGATGGCCAACAGTCACCGAACACCCCTCCGTCTAATGGCAGTGGCTCATTTGTTTCGAATACAAGACTTGAAGTTTCAATGCAACCTAACTTGATACCACAACATGTGTCTCTCACATAGTGTCGTGATCACATTGTAGTTGGAGAGTAAGTAATTCCTTTTGGCAATCCAGTTACTCTTAAAAACTACAACTATGAACAGGGCTTATATTTGTTCATTAATAAATTATCATTTTTTTGTAGTTTGAAAGTTAATGAAAAAGTGAAGAAGTCCCTTGAGACTATTGCTTCACATTTGTTTACTGGCTGGCCATCTAATTACGGAAATTTGGATCCCAAGTCTCGCGAAAAATACATTTCACTATTCTCGGTATAAAGATTAGAATCCTTGTGCATATATTGGATCAGACTTTATAATTATAATTATATTATTCTTATTGTTTTTCAGCTAGAGTATACATGGGCTGCGTCAGATAATAGCCGAATGATTTCCAAAGTTCATTCGCAATTTTCTAGTCGTTACACGGCACGCATGTCAAATATGAGATTGCATATACAATCCAAAATTCCAGATTTTTTTCCTGATCAAGACTACACAAGATTCATCCCCTTCCGTCCGGAGCTCGTAACGTCTCACACATGGGCTAAATTGTGTAACTATTGGAACTCTGATGAATGGAAGAAGAAGACTAAAGTTGCAAGACGTAATCGTGTTGGTTTTTTTTTTATCCCAGAAGGCAAACCACCAAAATCAGTGGGGTAAATGCCGGGAGTCAGATACCAGAATTTATTAAAGACATAGAGTATTACAAAAATCGAGGGGGGACTATACCAAAACCTCGTAAATAAAACAAGCTGAAAAAACCGCATTAATGAAATCTAAAAGAGGCAATGCCAAACAAATCCATAAAAAAAGTCCGTCTAGCCGAAATAGGTAAACTATTTGGGCTAAAAAATTCCTGCTTTGGGCCCAAATGTGATTGGGCCAAGAAATGAGCCGCACCGTTAACCTCGCGATAAACATGTCGAAAGGATAAACCTTTCCTATTCCCTGCGTGTAAGGTTTCCTGAATAATATCTCTCCACCTTCGGACCTCAGGATCCAGAAGAAGCTTCAGCGCCATAGATGAGTCCGATTCCACCTCAAAGTCGCTATAGCCAGCGCGTATCGCCCACTGAATAGCTTGGGAAATCGTCTTCAATTCCGCTTCAAGCGCTGAAGAAGCATCCACCTCAAAGCTGACCGCACGAAGAAGATGGCCGGTGCAGTTTCTCAGAATTGCGCCTCCCGCTGCTGATCCAGATAAGTATCGAGCATCTGTATTTAATTTCAGCTTTCCTTTTGGTTTGCTCCATTTTAAGATCTGTATTGAAAAGGGTTTGCTGCGAAATTCCTTGGGAATGAGATGTTCCTCATACAAAATCTTATCAACCGAGTGAATTTTAACCCCTTTCAATGAATGAGACCAGGCCTGAGTGTAGTGTTTAATGGTGTGAATGATTCCTGTAGTAGATGAAGTCGCATCCCCTTTTCCCCACTGGTAATTTGTATACACCTTCCATATATGCCAAGAAATGATACCTGAAATATGTCGCCTGAAAATATCCAAAAGATCTAACGAACCTGCCTTTAGCCAACAACATCTGAAAATTTGACAGATAGACGAAATATTCCTCGGTATATGAATACCCAGAATACCCATGAAATAATCCCATATAGGTTTCACTGTCTTGCAATTATAAAAAACATGGTCTAAGGACGAACTGCTATTTCTGCAAAGATAGCAAATAGATGGATTTGAAGTAATTTGAAACTGATTTAGCTTTTCAGGGAAAGGCAGAATGTTTTTAATAATCTTCCATTGCAAAAGTGTGATCTTTAGTTCCTGCTTTGAGCTCCAGAGGTGACTAAAAGAAAAGGTAGGTAAATTGCTATTCCTCACTTCATTGTATGCAGACTTAAGAGAAAATTGACCATTTGTTTCCTCATTCCAGGTAATTGTTCCAGTTGGGGATTGAGAGCACATAGAGGAAGCAAGATCATGAATGTGGCATATCCTTCTCCAAATTGAGGAGTCAGTAAGTTTAGGTATCATTTCAACTCTGTGATACTTGTTTCTTATGATTTCAGGTATTAAGCTTCTTTTCAAACTGTTCAATAATCTCACCACAGTACTCAAACCTGTTAACACCTTTATGAAGGTTTACTCCCAAATATCTGATGGGAAGCCTAGCAACTTTCATCCCCAAGAGCTCCTTGATCTGGTTTAATCTTCTGAGAGAAGTTTTCCCACAAAGAAATAGGCTTTTATCCAAATTTACAGTCTGGCCAGAACTCTGTTGATAATCCTGCAGAAACTTGTTGAAATTCAAGATAGATCTAGAGTCTCCATTAAGAAAACCAATAGGTCATCAGCATAACCTAGGTGTGAGATATTAGAGCCAGCAGTTCCTGTCCAGTAAGATTTAATTCTCCTTTGTTCCATTAGCTGAATAATACCCCTAGAGAAAGCCTCAAAGGCAATGATAAAAAGATAAGGTGATAAGGGATCCCCCTGTTTAACCCCCCTACTAGGCCTAAAAAAGCCATAAGGAGAGCCATTAATCAGTACTGAGAGCCTTGTAGCTTGTAGGTTGTTCATAATCAGCTTGATAAACATAGGAGAGAAACCAAATTTAAACGTAATCGTGTTGGTAATATTGAGCTATATTATTTTAAGATAATAATAACTATGGATGATTGAGTTATAGACAATGAAAACTAAAATAAATATGTAGGAAACCTTTGTGAGGGTGAAGTTCCTGGAAAGACAAAAAGAAGAAAGTCTAATTACTTCTACTGCGTTTGGATTTAATAATTTAGCATGTGATGTGTATAATTTTTTACTTCAATTTGTTATTCAAATCACAGGAGGAGGAACTTGGCCGAACTCCAACAATGGAGGATTTTGGAGGAAAGTGGAATACAGTTGACCCTGTTACTGGTCAGCTACCTCCAACACCGCATGCTCGTTACATGGTATGGTGTATATAAAAGCTAATTCTTTTTAGTTGTGATGGTCTATATCAATCTAAATGTAAACCAAATTATTATTTGCCATGTAAAAATAATCTGTGTTGTAGTTTAAATTACTGTTATAATATCCTTTTCTTCTAGGCTAATTACAGTCAACGAATGGAAGAAAAATATGGACCAGATCGGTCACAACATCCGGTGTTTGACTATGAGATTTGGACACAAATTACTGGTCCTCCAAAAAAGGGGCGACTAATTGGTGTACCGGACCAAATATCACACCCAGAGTTGTTTCAACCATCTAAACCGGAAGAGGTATGTCTCTATGTAAACTTAAATATATGTAGGGTGCTGTTGGGAACAAATATTGTCTAATTATTACTCCGTATATATCTATTCTATGTGTTGAGAAGATTTTTTACTACTACTGACAATTTGTATGCAAATACTAATACTAACAGTTTTAAACGGAAGTGTATAATAATATTTAGTGCAAAGAAAGTTGCAAAATAACTCGGTTTTTTGGCCAAAACACTAATGATTATGTAATACAATCATGCATTCTCCCCCACTATTTGAACAGAAAATGTAGGTTGAACACTTTATTAGCTCTTTTCAAAATCTGATGGTTACAAATATGCAGGATAGGTGTGTGATTTTAGAACATCAAGTTGTTGACCTCAAGACTGAAATAGAGACAATACGAGTTGGAATGTTGGAGTTTAAGACAGAAAATGAAAAAATCCAGGCTGAAAATGTAGAGCAAAGAACACATTTCAACTCTACTATGAGCAACATTTGGGGTGTCCTAATCAATATGGGCGTTGTTAACCCAAACATGATCCCGTTTAATTTTGGGTCATCTCAACAACACCCTGCAATGATGTTTGGGCAGCAGTCACAACTCCATCAACACTTACCATCCAGGCAACAACCAGGATCTTTCAGTCAGCTTATTCGGATGACATACGCCCAAGCGCAACATGAAATGGTAGAGGACCAGCCTCCACAACTTGTTCAAGGTGATCTTGCACAACCTAAAGCATCTCAATGTTTCTCAAGACTGCCTGCCATCCAACTCGACCAAATGTTGCTCCACCTATTTTTCCTATGCGGCATACTCATGTAGACTCATCGACCTCCGATTGTGATGAAGAGGAAATGGTTGATGTAAATGATGACAGTTAGCAAAACATTTCAATTTATTGCAATTTTTATGTGTCATTTATTGACATTTTTGTACTCTGTAATGTTTTTATATTTTGGTTTAAAAAACTGAGTTATTTTCGTCTCATTAATACATGCAATTATTATGTTTGCTGGCAGTATTTTTATTATGCTATTCTCGTATATAAGTTTATCATTTAAGTTTATACGTAGTATTAAAATATATACTACGTATAAATTACGGTGTATTATATTTGATGAATACACTTTTTATATGTCGGCCTGTTAAAGTTTGAGGAGGGAATCCTTATTAGTTGGTTATATAATAGAAAAGTTGATTGGTTGCAGGTTGCAGGTTTATGACCCCAGGAATGGTTATACATTTGTTATACCTGGTGGTTAGGACTTATGACTTATGAGGGAAGGATCCCTTATTAATGCATTATTAATAGATATGGTCATTGGTTACATGTGGCAGACATATGACACCAGGAATGGTTATACAACTGTTATTATCTAATAAGGAAACAATCCGTTATTCCTAGGCTGACCAGCAAAATTTTAATAAGGGATTAAATGACCACTGATTCCCTTATTATATATAGCAAACAGATAATGGATAGCTCCTTATTAGCACATTTTCATTCACGTAGTGATTGGTCCAACTCAAAGTGTTACATTTTATTTGCATTTAAATTATTCAATTGAAATTTTTTGATTAGTCCATACCATCAAGGTACCATATCTTCAAGATACCATAGAAATTGCCTTAATAAATTCTACATATATACTCACTCACGATAATAAGAATATTAATCAAATACATCTGCATTCATTAGTAGGAAAACACACAATCAAGGACATAATGAAACTTTATGACAAAATAGAAAAAATATTACCTTTACCGCAAACATTTTTAGTCACATTCTTGTTCAAATGTACTTTACACTCTTTGAATTAGGTGAGAAATACGAATAATAAAAATTGTGTGATTGAAGTTTGTGCAGAGGAGAGAAATTTGCTAAACTACAAAATACTCCCTCCGTTCCTTAAAACTTTGTCATCTTTCCTTTTTGGGACGTCTCAAAAAACTTTGTCACTTTCCCTTTTAATCAATTATTTTGTGGAATCTGTTATTTCTCTCTCCTCTACACAAATCTCAACCAAACAGTTTTTACTTTATTATTCTCCGTGCCGGTTAACTTTGACAAAGTTTTAAGGGACAAGTAGTAGTTAATTTAATGGGAAATGGGAAAAAATTTTGGGACAATAAAAAAAAAAGTTGGCAAACTCCAAATGGGAGAGGGAGTAATATTTAAGAAAAAGAAAAGAAAAATTATCCAATGTGAACACATGCATGCATATGTATATACTGTATGTATTTTTTAACCACAACCAGCTAAGCTAGCACGTACTCGATCTGTGTTCCCTGTGGTAGGTGTGACGTATAGAGCACGGAATCGAATGCCAACTTTGACAATTCGCTCTTTTCTGGAGACTTATCAGGCCGGGTACGTGCCACGGGGCAACTACGTACGTACTTAATATCTATCATTCGCTCAAATGTTATAACCGACGACCGTCCTCTCCTCTTCCAACAACAAACATCCCACTGCACTCTCATTTGCTCCACCCTCGCTTTCCTCATCTACTTCACATTAGGGGTGGGCATAAAAAACCGTAACCGTATAACCGCGCCTAAAAACCGGAAAACCGCCGTTTTTCCCGGTTAACCGAACCGCAATTTTTTAAATCCACGGTACGGTTAACCAACCGTGAGAATAAACGGTTCGCGGTACGGTTACGGTTTTAGAAATATGTTATTATCGGTTAACCAATAACCGGTATGTTCATGTCTGGTCATGAACTTTACGTTCTCAGAGAACTTGGAAAGATAAATATGTATCCAACACATCTAGATACATCAATTCTAATAAACATGTGAAGAAACCAAATTATGTTTGTCACTATAGAAATTTTAATTTCATATTATTAATAATTAGTCAAAGCATTTGTGAGTTATAATTAATTAGCTCATTCTGCAATCGTGAGACTTGAACATGTGTATTCTTTTTTTGAAGCAATTGAACACGTTTATTCTGATTAAGTGTATTTTATCTTTTCCTGTATTCCACTCTCAAAATTTATTTTTCTCTAGCTTGAACTTAATTAATATAGAAAGAACATGGTGTGTGTATATATTTAATCAATGGTTTGATGGTTTTTGGTTAACCGGTCTGTGGTTAACCGAAGTTTTGGTTAACCGATACTCGGTTAACCGAAGTTTTGGTTAACCGAGTATCGGTTAACCGAAGTAATAGGTTTCTCGGTTAACCGGAAAGTTGGTTAACCAAAACACGGTTAACCAACCACGCCCACCCCTACTTCACATACATGCATGTTGTCATCCTTCTCCATGAAAGCTATCTTAGAATTGTCCAAAAATGGGAGTTCTTAGCTTGCATGATACGACTATTCATTAGAGTGGCTAAAGCTATTTTTATGCTTTATTTCATTATATCATTTCTTTTTTGCTTTAAACCAAAGGAAAAATTCTAACATCTTTTTCTTTATGCGGTTATTAATTAACATTAAACGATTCTAATAATTATATACCTATAAGATTTGAAAAATACTGGTCGGTCTTTAATACGTAACGTAGTAATATAATTTGTAGATCGAGTGCGCGCCCACTTATTAAACACTTATAAGATTTGAAAAATAATCGTCTATATATAAGGAGGTTTATTACTGCATTTGTTGATTTTTACTCAACAAAGTGATAGTGATAACAAGTAACGACAAGATAATTCTTATCCCTTAGCTTATTCCCTTTATTACTGCCTTTGTTGATTTTTACTCAACAAAGTGATAGTGATAATTCATCTCTCTTTATTACTGCATTTGTTGATTTTTACTCAAGATAGTGATAGTGATATTGTGATAACAACAAGATAATTCATATCCCTGATACCGATGGTTGATCGCCTATAAACAGGTGAGAGTAGTACTAGGGGTGCAAATGAGCCAAGCCGAGCCTGAGCATGGGTAGGCTTGAGCTTGATAAAAGTTCACGAGTTCGAACTCGATCCGAGCTTGGACGAGTTAAATAATTCGAGCTCGAGCTCAATTCGATCTCCGTTCGAGCTCGGGTCAAGTTTCACTAATTATTTTTATAGGTTTGAACTCGAATAAGATGAGCGAACTCGGGCTAAAAATATAATATGTGTTTCTCATTTTTAGTTTATCTCTTAGCTCCTTTACTAACATTTTTATTCTTTATTTTACTGTTAATAAATATTACAAGCAAATATTATAACTATTACATATTATGGTTATAATAATAATACTACGTACATGTTATTATTTTGTAATTATTACTAGGAGTATTATATTATACTCCGTGAAAAGGATTGAAAATGGAATTGTCTTAAATTAGAATATATATTCCAAAAAAGTACATATATAATTACTACATACTACGTATTACATATATAATTATATATAAAATATACTACGTATAAAATATGACACAAAGGCTTGCGAGCCGGCTTGCGAGTCGGTTCGCGAGCCACGAGCCTAAAATGAATAGGCTTGAAATGAGCTTGTTATCTATTCGAATCGAGCCGAACTCGAGTCGAGCATAATATGACCGAACTCGAGTCGAGCTTTTCTCGAGCGATCCACGAGTAGCTCACAAGCGGCTTGACTCATTTACACCCCTAGGTGAGACTAACACGTATAATTATAAATGTCATTGCTAAAAATAATATTCTCCATTAATAACGACCATTTGATTAAGCATGGAGCTAGGTCGGTCCAGGTCGATCCCGAGCTCGAGCGTTCCCAATTCTAAATAATTGAAGCCCGGTACCAACCCGATTTGGTCTGGTACCGATTCCAGTCAGGGTCGAAACAATACCGGTCCCGGGCCCGGCTAGTTCCAAAAATGAGTGCCCAAAGCCCAACACTCTTCTACCACGGTCTGGGTACCGGGCTAGTACCAAAAAACCGGTCCCAATCCAGTTCTAATAGTCCTGGTCCCGGGTCGATCCCAAGTCGGGTCACCCAGACCCAGTTAGGCTTGGAGTCGGGCCAGTCCGGGTCGAGCCTGACCGGGCTTTTTTTTGTTTCTTGAGGCCCGAAACCGGCCCGGGTAGCTACCGGATCCGGGTCGGCCCTTGACCAGGTCGGGCCGGTTCATGTTTTTGAGACCCGGAGCCCGCCCCGAAACAGTACCAGGCCAGGTGGCCCAAACTAGGCATGGACCCAGGCACCGACCAAGCAAAAACCTTTCTTTCCTAGAGTTAACCGTTCGACCACCAACCGCTCAATTCTTGCAGTGACCGTCCACTCATTGTCTAATTTTTAATAATTATGATTATCTTCCTACCGTGTAATTAGTCAAGTGACTTCAATTACATTTTTTCCATAAATTTATTTTTTCATAATAAATATTATGCGAGTAATACTTTAGTTAAATTTGTTTGACATAATTGGAATATTGCTTAGAAATAATTAGAAGTAGTTTTACAGTTTCACCAAATAATTTGTGCACACTTGCACGGTTGCACGCAGAAAATCGAAATAATGTCTGCTTCTGATCCGTGAGACCGTGAACTAGGGATGGACTCGGGCCGGGTGGCCCGACCCGGAACCGGCCCGGGACCGGTACTGTTCCGGTCCGGCCCGACCCGGTGGCCCGGTCAGTGACCGGTCCGGGTAGGCCCGGCCCGTGGGTTTTCCGGTCCGGGCTCGGGTCACCCAAAACAAGGCCCGACCCGCCCGGGCCCGGTTCGGGTCAAAAACTATTTTTTTTTCTTTTTTTTCAATTTTTTTTTAAGTTTTCGGGTTGGGCTGGGTATTTTGGGCCATTTGGGGTGGTTTGGGGGGTTGGGGGTGGGAGGGGGTTAATTAGGAAGAGGAAAACAAAAAAAAATATAATGGGCCCGGCCCGGCCCGGACCCGGACCGATCCCGGGTCCACCATTTCTGACCCGCCGGCCCGGACCCGGCCCGGACCCGGCCCGGACCCGAGTCCATCCCTACCGTGAACAAAATAGATCCAAAAACACCTTAAAAGTGCTCATCAAATCACCTTTTGAAGTAGAACAACTAGGAAGTTTCTTTCGTACTATTCAATTTATAAATTTTGGGGGTTTTCAAAATAAACAATTTTGAGCAAGTCTTACACTGCAAACGAAGTTGTGTGATTGTAGCCCAAATTCAACCGTCGACTAATCTAAAAATAATAGAAAGAATTTAAACAATAGAAGAATATTTAATCAACAATTCATACTGTATATTAGGGATGGACTCGGGCCGGGTTAACCGAACCAGAACCAGCCCGAACCGGCACTATCCGGCCTGGTCCACGGTTCTGTGACCGGTTCGAGCAACCGGCCCGACACTGTAGAGAGGCGGTTCCCGAGCCTTGCATTTGATGAACCGACCCGGTCGGATCAGGCCCGGTTCGGGCCAATTTTTTTTCCACATTTTTTAAAAGGTAAATGGGTTGGGTTGAGTGTTTTGGAGGGGTTTGGGGTGTGGGGGTAGGAAGTAATTAGAAAAAAAATAGGGTGAACCGGCCCGAAGCTACCCGGGCCGATTTCCGGGCCTCACTTCTCCAAAAAAAAGCCCGGTCAAAACCGGACCGAGGCTCAGCCCGGCCCAAACCGAGGCCATGCCTACCGTATATTGATAATGATGAACGATGAATAATATTGTTGAGTGAGAATAACTAATCTAGGTGCTCTACGAGAATAATATGCGGAACAAAATATGTGTAAAGACTCAGGAATTCGAACTATAGCGTGAGAGCTTCGAGAATAATATGGCTATTCTAATTGTGAAACCCTCTTCTCTCTTAGGTATGTACGATCCAGTCCTTCTATTTATAGAGGGATGGCCGAACACCCTAGTTACATTAGGATGTGCCGTATGGGTCTAGTTAACAGGGCCGGTTCTGGGGCATGAGCAACGGGGCATGCACCCAGGGCCCATTGCTCCGCTAAGACTCATAAATTTCCGAGTTATATATATATATATCTATAAAAATTTTGAAAAAATCACTTATAATTTTCTTATACTTTCAATTCATTATTCAAAAAACATCTGCAAACTACAAGTTTAAAATTTTGAAATTAAACAACCACACTAGAATTTATTGGAAACAAACTTCACCATTTCTTTTGATTCATTTCCGTAGTATTTTGCTAATTTTCTTTAATTCTCTCATGAAATGAAAGAATTAATAAATGTGATTTGAATTATGAAAATTTTTCTTCATATAAGATATAACTTTCACATGTTTCCCTAAGTCAAAATTCCTATGACAAATACAAATTGTACTACTTTTCTATTAGACCGATTTAGTTACATAGTATTCTCGGATGTCAGTATGTCACTAACCAAATATTTAAATATAATCTTTCTAACCATCTCATTTATTAATTTCTTAGATGTGTTATACATATATTTATATAATAAAATTGCTCAATTTTACTTATAGTTTTTTAAAATAAAAAATATAAACATTCATACATTATTCCCAAAACCTACTCAATCTATAATGTCCCGGGCCCATAAAATGTCAGGACCGGGCCTGCTAATTAAATGGCCCCTAATTAATTACAAAGGCCCACTGATTAAATCCTAATTAAACAAAGATAAATCTAATTAAATTGAACACAATAAGTTATGCCCTAAGAAAAGTGTTAACTGTTAATGAGATTTATTCTTAACCATGCGGTTGAAAAGCAAATCAAACCATTCTAAGGAAATTTCGAGATCATAAACACAATGATAGTAACATTGCAAAAGATTCAAGAATATACAAAAAACAAGTTACAATCATCCTCCCACGCAAACAAGTATTGCATGTGCTGGCAATGGTGTTTGGGTCTTGCGAATCATGATCGAACTTTTAGGACACATGTTCCCCTCACGATCAGAACCAAAATAGTGTAGATTTAACTACAAGCCCGGAGGTTTGAGTAGAGGGACCAGGCCAAAGATGCCTTCAATGTCGACCGGGGTGTTAAGGGCTCGCTTCAGAATTTCTGGTGGATTGGTCTTTCCTTTCCATGTGCTGAACCATGGCCCTCCCCCTACTTCTACACCTGCCATTCTACTTGTGATGTCCAAGATGCCCTACAAATGATATCATTGTGACACTTATGTGTGTGTACCGCCACATACTAAATTAGACGCCATAGGGTGGATCCATCGGCCATGAAGTTATCGGGGCAAAATGGTTTGGTTTAACCGAACCAACCAAACCGAAAATTGGTGGTATGGTTTGGTTTGGTTTGAATTTACTTAAGTAAACCGTTTGGTAAGAATTTGCTCAAACCGAATGGTTTGGTTTGGTTTGAAACCGAACAACTCTTCCGGTCAGGAATTCCTGACCGGAATTCCTGACCGGAACCGCCGTCCGGACTACGGCTTTTGAGGCTCTTCCCGGTGGAATTTTTTGATGAAATTTGTATAGCATGTTCTTCATCAAGTCTAGTTCATCTACAAAAAATTTTAGCTGAAAATTCAATCGAGAAGGCCATCACATGATTTTTGGAAGATAACTGCGCCAAAATATACATATAAAACGCAGCTAAAATTATAACATGCCATAAAAATTCTATGTGATATTATAAATGCTAATCAACTATAATTTTATATTTTGTGAGTAGTGAATCTTTTTTCTCATGATCAAAAAAGATATTAGAAGTTTCAGTTTATAATATTTTATTATTTCTTTTTCTATCTTTTATTTCCTTTTACATTTTTTTAAATAATCAATAAAAGAAGATGAGATGGACTACTACTTTCATTTTATAATTCTAAAATATAGAACTTGATCAAATAAAATAATAAACATAAGAAAACGAATCAAATCGAACTACATTAAACCTAATACATTTCACTTTGGTAAACCGAACTTCAAACCGAACCGAACCGAAACACAAATGGTTTAAGTTTGGTACAAATTCTCCCAACCCGAATAAACCGAAACGAAACCAAAGAAAACCGAACCGTAAACCCACCCCTAGTACAAAGTATTGGGAATCTATCCTAAAAGTTCTATTTGATAGGTGTAAATCGAGACTTTAGATGTTGTTTTGTACTTTTATATTCATCTGATTTGGGATAACATATCATTGTTCAAACCGAGACGTGGAGTACTTCAAAAATGGTCATGTGGGTGGCCCAAAATAGTCTGCAGATGGTTTAAATGAGATCCTTACTATGGGGTCATCCCCAATCCCCATATGAACTTGTTCACATAGCAACTCCACAACACAGTTGAGTTAATTCCACGAGATTCAATTCAGACCCGAGATATGATATAGCTTTTGTTTTGCTTAGGGTATTTTCAAGACAATGGGGGCTATGAGATCCAGAATGAGACAAAATCATTCAGTGCATAAAGCGTGAATGGCTTTAGCTCACAGGATCAATAGTGAAACCAAGCATTATTATAAAAGCGGAGTACCTGTCCTTTGGTTCCATCATATCGGCGTTCAGATAACTGCAATCTTAGGTCCGCAAAACAAGAATCCCGACAAACAGGCGCGAGACCCATCTCTAGAGTAGGGGCACGCAAAGGTGTGCCTGGGTCACTTGTTCTTGCTTCCACTTCCACCTGCTCAGACATAATATTCCCAAATCATGTTACAAACAAATGGTTTCATGACAGATTATGATGGATAACTAAATTTTGGCCATATGGCGTGGCACCCCCACCATAAACCATCATTTTTAACAACTTATGCAGCTGGCAACAACACTTGTCTACATTTAAAATCAAATTCTACGCCCTCACCAGGCACTACTAGGTTTTCTGTGGAGAGGACCCTCGTCATACAAAAAGAAAACATAAACAAAACAACAATTCACACCCTACTGCTGCCATGGGTGGAAAGGGATTGGGGGGGGGGGGGGGGATCCAGAACGGCCACTTCCGGTTCAGCCCTGAACAGTGTATGGATGTACTAACACAAGGAGAGGAGGTCCTGCATTGCACCCTAAGGCTAAATTTGGATCTATAAAAATGATAGGCAGAGCAAAGAAAATGCCAAAAAATGGTATTTGGATATACTTCGGCAAATGCAAAGAAAAACTAAATATGGGTTAATGTTTTTAAATTTATTACATATGTTTATGTCGCCTAGTAATTAATACAAATACAACAACATTACCCCAGTGCCGCAAAGGCTCCCCACTTACGGTAGTTAAGAGGGGTCGGATGTACGCAGCCTTATCCATGTACTAAAGCACATAGAGACTATTTTTGAATGACCCATGATGAGAATCACATTGATAATTGCATAGACACGATTATCGATTGACTAGCTGACTGCTGCTTCATAACAAAGAAGCGTAGACAGTTTAGTGAGTCATTTTACTTTATTCCATCATATTCCCAAGCCAAAACATAGCGAGTCTTTGGTTCAACTAGAAAATAATGGAACTAGTAATTAACACAAATGAATAAATAAAGGGAAAACTATCAAATAAGCCCCCGTACTATACCGAAAAAGTCGATTAGACCCTCGTACTTTACAAACACTCAATTAAGCCCTCGAACTATTAAAAAACGTTCAATTAAGCCCTTTTAGTGGGTAAGTAACCGATTTCCCGGTTAAACGACGACGATGGCGACGATGTGCTCGAACTCCAGCAACAGCAGCTTCCGGGAAACAGGTTACATTTAACCGGGAAACCGGTTACTTACCGACCGAAAGGGCTTAATTGAACGTTTTTTAATAGTTCGAGGACTTAATTGAGTGTTTGTAAAGTACGAGGGCCTAATCGACTTTTTCGGTATAGTACGAGGGCTTATTTGATAGTTTTCCCATAAATAAATAAAATGAATTTGAATAAATATTAAAAAAATATTGGGTTTGAAAGTTTTAGCCTATGTTTTATTTTCCCAAATCACTACTACCTGTCTTAGTTTTATATTTTGTTCCTCCTGATTGATTGGATAAGAAATGAATGATAAATAATAATATAATATAGATGAGTATCCTCTTGTATCTACAAGAGAGTAGCAGAACTCTTGATGGTATCAGAGCAGTACTCGATCCTGCTTTAATACAAGTGCATCCGGTGAAAACCCTTGGGTTGTTGATTGCGGTGCTACTGATCACATGATCGGGGATAGGAATATACTTGTTGAACTCCAACCTGTACCGAATGGAAGAACCATACGAGTTGCTACTTGAGAAGGCGCGTAAGTGGCGGGCATTGGTAAAGTTGTCATATCAAAGAATATAACACTGAAATGTGTGTTATATGTTCCCAATGCAGATTTCAATTTGTATTACTATCTTAACCCCATATGCATGCATGTTTCATGATTAGCAGTGCAGCCAGTGCTAAAGTCTGTGATGAGCTCTACCACATGGAAGCCAAGCATTTGGGAAAACTCCTAGTTTCGCCATTATTTCATGTTTCTAGTAAAATAATATGATGTTATGGCATCATAGGTTGGGTCATCCAAATTCTCATTACTTAAAAAGTCGTTTCCTCATTTATTGAATAAAAGCCCGAATGATTACAATTGTGAAGTGTGTCAATTATCCAAGCATGTTAGACATTCTTATACTCCACTCTTATACTCCACTCCTGTATAAATCCTCTCATCCATTCTATTTAATTCATAGTGATGTTTGAGGCCCTTCCAGAGTGAAAAATATCTCTGGTGCGAGATGGTTTGTTACTTTTATAGATGACCATACTCGTGTTACTTGTGTCTTTCTGATGAAGGACAAATCTGAAGTTGGGCAATTTCCAACGTTTTCATCAGATTATACAAAACCAACTTGCAACAAAAATTCAAGTACTCAAATCTGATAATGCATAGAAATACTTTCACTATGAGTTGGGCAACTACCTTACTCTGCAGGGAATTGTCTATCTCACATCCTATGTTGACACCCCTCAACAAAACAGTGTTGCAGAAAGGAAAAACATACATCTGCTAGAGGTAACGCATTCATTACTATTATCTAGTTTTGTTCCAAATCATTTTTGGGGAGAAGTTGTGTTAACTGTCGCATACCTATCAATAGGATGCCTTCCCGAGTCGTTGACATTAAAACTCCACACCCCAATTTCTACGGTCTAGCTTCCCTCACATTCGAATTCTATCCCCAGTTACAACTGAAAATATTTGGCTGCACCTCATTCGTTCATAATCATCAGCCAAATTGTAGCAAACTAGATCCTAGGTCATTCAACCATTCCACCAGGAAATTCTACCATTCCATGGATGCCATTCTTTGAAGACAAACCTTGTTATTCCAAAACCAAAATTCAGGGGGAGAACTGTGTGGAATATCAATTTTTAGACAATCCTACCTTATTCCCTTCCGATCCGAGTCACCATGAGGATATTCCTAATCCATTATGGATACTGTTGGAGTTGAAACTAACAGTTTAAATCCGAGTGGTCCTGAATTTGTTCCAAACCCATCAGCCGATGGATCCTCAAATAAAGATGTCCGAAAAGATGACATTGTCTACACCCGGCGCCCGATATAGCAAAATAAAGTGGAAGAGCAAGTCACTACTGAAGCACATAGCCATGAACGCTTCCCGGATTCACCAGGTAATACTCAACCTAAAGATTCCAGTTCTTATGTTTTCCCTGATGAGTCAGGTGATTTAAATATTCCAGTTGCATTACGGACAGGGAAGAGAAGTTGTACTATGCATCCAATAAGTAACTTTGTTTCATATGACAAACTCTCACCCGAATACAAAACATTGGCTCTTTCAGTTTCACAATTAAAGTTCATAAAAACCTTCAAGAAGCGATCTCAAAAGGGAATGGACAAATGCAGTGCAAGAAGAAGTGAATGCTCTTAAGAAAAGCAAAACTTGGGAATACATTAACCTACGGCATCGACTACTCAGAAACAATTGCACCTGTTGCAAAACTAAATTCCATTTGGGTATTACTCTCCCTTGCTGTAAACCTTGACTGGCCGTTGCATCAACTCGATGTGAAGAACACATTTTTAAATGGGGAATTAGAGGAACAAGTTTCCACCGGGACTGGAGTCTCTACAAAACAAAGGAATGGTGTGCACACAGAAAATCCCTATATGGTCTAAAGCAGTCGCCACGAGCATTGTTTGAAAAACTAACACAAGTGGTCAAATAATACGGATTCATTCAAGGGCAAACCGATCACACGATGTTCACAAAACACTCCCGTGACGGACGAGTTGCAATTATGGTGGTCTATGTGGACGATATCATTATAACAGGAGACTACTCAGAGCAGATTAATGATCTGAAACTCGTCTTGGGAAGACAATTCGAAATAAAAAATCTTGGTCAACTTAAATATTTCCTTGGTATGGAAATTGCAAGGTCTAGAAAGATCATTTATGTATCACAAATGAAGTATACTCTTGATTTCTTGAAAGAGACTGGGTTATTGGGTTGCAAACCAGCAAGTGTGCCAATGGAACAAGGAATTAAATTTTGAACAGGAACCGAAGATGAGCTAGTAGACAAGGGAAGATATCAAAGACTGGTGGGGAAGTTAATAACCTTTCACATACAAGACCCGATATCGGGTTTGCTGCAGGTATGGTGAACAGGTTCATGAACACTCCCACAATTCACCATATGGAAGCAGTATTTCAGATTCTTCACTACTTGAAAAACCCAGGATATGGGCTCTACTTAAAAAAAATCCAGTGAAAGTGGAGTAACCATTTACACAGGACTGGGGAGGATCTTGTGTAGATGGAAGGTCCACCACAGGTTATTGCACATTTGTGTGGGGTAATCTGGTCAATTGGCGTAGTAAGAAGCAATCTGTGGTGGCTAGAAGTAGTGTTAAGGCTGAATTCCGTGCAATGTGTCGAGGAATATGTGAAGGAATATGGTTAGGAAGAATGCTGAAAGAACTAAACATCCAGAATAATAGAAAGGTAATACTATTCTGTGACAATAAAGCGTCAATAGAAATTGCGAGAAACCCAGTTCATCATGATCGCGCTAAACATGTGGAGATTGATCGCCACTTTATAAGAAAAAAGTTAAAATCTGGAATTCTAGAGCTATCGCATATTCCAACAGACTTTCAGGTTGCTGACATTCTCACCAAGGACCTTCCATAGAACTAATTCGAAAATATAAAGAGCAAGCTGGATATGATTGATATCCATATCCAATTTGAAGGAGAGTGAAGATCCCCGAGTTTTAGTTTTCCTTATTTGTTTACTTTATTTAGCTTGGAGGGGTAGTATTGTAATTATCAGAACTATTAGGGCAAAGTCACTGCTACCTGTCTTAGTATTTATGTTTTGTTCCTTCTGATTTGATTAAATAAGAAATGAATGATAAATAATAAAGATGAGAGCATCTCTCTCATATCCTCTTGTATCTACAAGAGAGTAGTAGAACTCTTGACTTACCTTTCCTTTCAAAACATTCCTACTGTACTCTCAATTTTCTTTTCTTAGCAATTTCCTTGTTCCAAACAGACCCTTATATTCTCATAAAATTGACAAGACCCACTTTAACACATCATAGATGGATGAAATCAAATGGTGTCACATTAAATGTCCCCATTAACCTTTCACGACACTACTGTATACAGTTTACAAATTAAATTGGACAACAAATGTACACTATTACTGCATTTTAATAGGCTGACGTCACTGACCAAATAGCAAGCTTGGAATTAAAACAATTACCATATGTGTCTCATTCTCTGCGGTTAAATACCAGTGACCCCAGGGAGATATTTCCCAAGTTACAGACCCATTCCATGGCACAAATTCATAGAAAACACCACCATAATGAACCGCTATCTGCAAATTTTATATACAATGATTTAAAAGCTGTAAGTAAGGGACTGTTTGTTTATTTTCCTATTAGATTCTGTCTAGATTAAATGATATTTGTGTATGAGTGGTTTATTTTGTGCACGGAATAAACAGACTGAATCGAGTAAAATAATCAACTTAATATTATTATTACGTTGTATTTTCAATGCACAATGTTATTTCTTAACATACATCTATTCCATAATTGATTTTGAAAATTGTCTGAATAGACGTCTTAATTGGAAGGACTAGATATTACAGCTTAATCATTATGTCAATTTCTTATATTAGAGCTTGTACAACGCAAGCTTGAAAATACCAGTGCAGCATTTTCATAAGTGGAACTTGATCCGGGTCCTGGAATTTTTCTTAATCCACCACCGAGAGTCAAACTGACTTCACCATCAGTGCCTTCAAAAGCATTGCATTGGGCCTGCACATTCAATATCAAATAGTTCCATATTTAAAAAGTATTAAGGATTTATTGCAAGAAAAAAAATGAATCTCATTTTCCCCTAAAATTACTTTTAACCCCACCCCACCCCCAGGGTTTTAAAATGCAGACTGCAATGCCTGATGCGGCCGCAATATTGCGGTAGCGGCCGGCACCGCAAGTCTGCAACCACATCGGGCCACAATGCGGTGTTTTTTAAAATCATGGCCAAAACTGCAGCGCAACCACAAAGTAACCACATCCGGGCCGCAACAAAGCGCAGTGAGACCGCAACACTGTTTTAATTTCTTTTCTTATTTCGTTTGATCGTAAAATTAATTCACACTGCATCGGCCACATTACGCATTGTAGCCGCCGCAATAGCCATAACCGCAGCCGCAACGGCAACCGCGACTGCAATTTAAAACCATGCCCATCCCAAAAGTGCAATATTCGACTCTTTTTGCAAGTCTGTACTAAGAAAGGGGTATTTATCATTTTACACAAGTTTAAGTCTTTAGGATTTGGCTTGAATTAGCCTCGAGTAAGAGACGGAAAAGATTTTGCTAAATACGTAGTTGTCAAAGAAAGCATACCCAAAACCACTTTTTAGGGAAGCCATCTCCCCAATTCTTCTCAGAATAAGATGGGGCATTTTGGAACTCATACCTCTGACCATCCCACTCTATCCAACCTGAGAACAATACATTCATTATTTAGTATTTTCTTTAATATACAAGGAACCATGCACGTGGCTCAGGGCAGGCCTTGAAATAGATTAAATCTTTTTTAATGGTAGATATAACATGATAGTGAGATACCACTTTAAATTTCATTTAAAAAAAACTATCATGATAGGGACATTGGGTATTTCTAACAAGGAGGATAGATATTATGGCCAAGTATATTCAAGAAGAAATAAATAGACTAGTTATTAGTTACTTTCTGTTAATTGCTTGTAACTACTTTTGGTTAGTCTATGAGGCTATAAATAGAATAATCCTGAGAATAGAATGCAGGCTGTTTAGACTTTGGTCTGGGGACTGGGAAGATTAGAGAGTTGTTTTCTCTTTTCTTTGGGACTCGGTGTACTGTTTACCTTCATCAATAAAGTGCTGATTTGTTTCTTGAGCTAAATTCTTGTTGTTTAGCTATATTTCCTATTGAATTGCTATTCTATACCTGCGCAATCTCTATCGGTGGTATCAGAGCACGTTGATCGCTGCATGATCTTTACGCGTGCTAAAATGGAAGGACGTATGACAGATTTAGAAAGAAATCAGTGGGAGACAGCAGCTATGCAAGCTAATATGGCGACGACTATGGCCGCTATGCAAGCTAGCCTCGCGGACATACAAAACAGACTTCAAAGTCATTCGAGGAGTCGATCGCATCATTCGAATTCTTCGCACCGTACTTCTCATCACAAACATACGAAGAATACGGATAGTTCGGAAGGTTCAGATAATCACTCTGAATTTTCCTCATCGCGACATGTAGGTTTGAGGAATTAATCTTCCTTGAATATTATTGAGCCATCCGGCAATGATATATATACAGGTTACAGATAAAGCCTAGTTGTTTCAGATCCTAAATAATAGAATCTATCTATTCTGTGAGCTTATCTATTAATTAAAGAGCTCTATCTACTCTAAGTCTTATCTATACAGTTCCGGATGTACATAAAATTAAAATAACAAATACATGTTACATTTTTCCACACTCCCCCTCAAGTTAGTAAGTATATATCATACATTCCCAACTTGCTTATAAGTAGTTCAAACACTGGTTTCAACAGGCCCTTTGTAAAGATATCAGTTGTTTGTTCTTTGGTAGATATGAATGGCGTACACACAATTCCAGCTTCAATCTTCTCTTTGATAAAGTGTCTGTCCACTTCAATATGTTTAGTACGATCATGTAGCACAGGGTTGTGAGCAATATTAATGGTTGCCTTATTATCACAATATAACTTCATAGGTAGTTCCAATTTCATATTCAACTCTGAAATCACTCTCTTGATCCAAAGTAGTTCACAGATTCCATTAGCCATAAATCTGAATTCAGATTCTGCACTACTTCTAGCAACCACATTCTGCTTCTTACTCATCCAAGTCACTAGATTCCCCCATACATAAGTACAATACCCAGATGTAGACCTTCTATCAATTATTGAGCCAGCATAACCGGCATTTGTAAAGGCTTCCACACTTCTATTGTCACCTTTTTTAAAAAATAATCCTTTCCCTGGACAACTTTTCAAATACCTTAGGATTCTGTAGGTAGCATCTAGATGTTCCTGGAATGGATTATGCATGAATTGGCTAACCATACTAACTGCAAAGGCAATATCTGGCCTTGTATGTGCCAGATAAATCAATCTTCCCACCAATCTTTGATATTGCTGAACATTAACTGGTACTCCTTTGACATCTCCTAACTTTTGATTAGGATCAATTGGAGTATCTATTGGTCTGTAGGCATTCATACATGTTTCATGGAGAAGGTCTAGTACATACTTCCTCTGAGATACCACAATTCCCTTCTTTGATCTGGCTATCTCCATGCCAAGAAAGTACTTTAATTCTCCCATGTAAGAATGATATCATCCACATAAACAATTAACACTGCAATCTCTCCCTTACTTGAGAACTTCATGAATAGTGTATGATCTGTTTGGGCTTGCTTGATACCACAATTCCCTTCTTTGATCTGGCTATCTCCATGCCAAGAAAGTACTTTAATTCTCCCATGTAAGAATGATATCATCCACATAAACAATTAACACTGCAATCTCTCCCTTACTTGAGAACTTCATGAATAGTGTATGATCTGCTTGGGCTTGCTTGAATCCCTGCCTCTTTATGAATTGAGTAAACCTGTCAAACCAAGCCCTTGGAGACGGTTTAAGTCCATATAAGGCTTTCTCCAGCTTGCACACCTTTGAGCCATACTATCCCTCAAACCCAAGAGGGGGACTCATGTATACTTCCTCTTCAAGCTTCCCATTTAAGAAAGCATTCTTCACATCTAACTGTTGAAGTGGCCAGTCTAGGTTAGCAGCTAGAGATAGAAGGATCCTTATAGTATTTAATTTTGCAACTGGAGCAAAAGTTTCTATATAATCTATGCCATAGGTTTGTGTATATCCTTTGGCAACCAATCTGGCCTTATATCTTTCAAGTGTACCATCTGCCTTGAATTTAGGGGTAAATACCATTTGCATCCTACTGTTGGTTTGTTCTTGGGTAATTCCACAACCTGCCATGTCTGATTCTTTTCAAGAGCATTCATTTCCTCTAAAACAACCTTCTTCCACTTAGGTTTAGATAGAGCTTCCTGTATGGTTAAGGGAATAGAAACAGGGCAAAGGCTTAGAGGTAAAGGCCGCAAATGATGAAGATAACCGAGAATAAGACACATAGTTTGAGATAGGGTATTTAACACATGATCTTCTTTCGTTTCTGAGAGCAATGGGTAGATTTAGATCAATGGAATTATTACCTTTGTCATTTTCTGACATTGAGTCAGATTCATGAGCACTGACAGGATCAGAGATGTCCTCTATTCTTTGATTTGGAACTCTCCTTTCATAAACCTTGCCAAAAAATTTACTTGTCTGCTGTTCATCATCTTTCCTTTGTCTCAGAAAATTTTATTTCATTTTCTTTTGATTCTTGACTATTTTCTAGTGCATCTAACTGTCTATTATATTGTGCATCTAGACTAATGTCAAGAAATTCAAGTTTTTCATGGATATGTGACACATAGTACCATCTTCATTAGAATTCTCCCCCTGAAGATGAGTACTAAAAAAGATTGATTTTCAACAAAAACAGTGTTCATTGTTACAAACATCTTTTTTGTTGTAGGGTCAAAACATTTATAGCCTTCTGTGTTGAAGATAGTCCTAAGAAAACACATTTTTTGCCTCTAGAGTCAAATTTGCTTGCAGTTCTGTCAGGGTTGGTAACAAAAACTGTGCAGCCAAAAAATTTTATGGGAAGAGAGTTGATAAGCCCAGTTTCAGGAAAACTGGCTTGAAGCGTATCAATAGGAGTTTTAAATCCTAGAGTCTTTGATGGCATCCTATTAATTAAATAGGTAGCATGTAAAACAGCTTCTCCCCATAAATATTTTGGAACTCCAGCAGAAAACATAATTGCACAAGTGACTTCAAGCAAATGCCTATTTTTCCTCTCAACTATTCCATTCTGAGCAGGTGTATTTATACAGGAACTTTGATGAATAATCCCTTTTTCAGCAAAAAAATTATTTAAATTTTTAGAAAAATACTCAAGGCCATTATCACTTCTCACAATCTTAGATATTAGTATTGAATTGAGTCTGAACCATTGAGTAAAATTTCTTGAACATCTTCAACCTCAGATTTTTCTTTCATAAAAAAAACCCATGTGACCCGTGTGTGATCATCTATGATAGTTACAAACCACCTTTGTCCTTTCAATGTTGAAACTCTAGATGCACCCCAAATATCACTGTGTACAAGAGTAAAAGGACTAGTTGGTTTGTAACTATGAGGGATATAAGAGCTCCTGTGATGTTTGGCAAGTGCACACATATCACAATGAAATGATGAAGGATTTTTATTATGAAATAACTTAGGAAACAACCATTTTAGATAGGAAAAACTTGGGTGACCTAATTTATAGTGCATTAAATACACTTCATTATTACAAGGAAAGGAAATAGTTTGCAAACAAGTTTTTCCTTGAACTTGTTTATTTAATTGTGTTCCTTCATCAAAAACATATAGGCCATCCTCCTCTCTAGCACTGCCAATCATCCTCCCCGATGCCAGATCCTGAAAATGCAATAAGAAGGATAAAACTTTACACAACAGTACAACACTGAAGGTCTTTGGTTATTTTGCTAATAGAGATAAGATTGCAGGAAAGTTTTGGAACATGTAAGACTTTAGAAAGGTTAATGGATGAGGAAATTTTAATATTTCTCATCCTTGCTATAGCTGAAAAAGAGTCATCTGCAACTCTAACTTTCTTATCTCCTACACAAGGTTGATATGAAGAAAAGAGATTTGGAATGTAGGTCATGTGGTCTGTTGCACCTGAGTCAATGACCCAGGTACCTTTTGGTTTTTCAGAACAAAAATATGATGTAATTTTATCATTTTGGGTAAAAGAACAGGAACGGTTTTCTTGGTTGGAGATTTTCCAGGTGGGTAGAAATTGGAGTAGGTACTCTATTTGTTCCTTTGTGAAAGGCAGTTGTTTAGATTCAACTCCTGACTCTTGTTGAGTTTCAGTCACAGTAGGTTATAGGGCCCTTTTAACTTTCTTCTTTCCAGCTCCCGGTGGTTTTCCATGAAGTTTCCAGCATGTTTCCCTTGTGTGCCACAATTTCTTGCAGTGATCACACCAAGGTTTTTTCTTGTCATCACTTCTGGCCACTAAAGCTGAAGAGTCCCCAGGTTCCTCATTAGGTACTGGAGTGTTGTACATGACCCTCCTCCTGCTATCTTCCAACCTGATCTCAGAAACCTCTCTGATTGGGGCCAGAGGTTTCTTTCCCAGTATTCTGCCTTTTACTTCATCTAGGTCCCTATTGCTCCCTGCTAGAAACATATAGACCCTATCATTCTCCTCTTTTCTTATGTCTGGCCAAATCCTTAGCACTCTCCCACTCTTCATCACCATAACATTGATCTAATTC